GAGCCAAAAAAGTTTGGAAATTTTGCAGCTTGTCCATGTGATAGAACAGGAAAAGTCATTTTCAGGAGATAACACAAGCAGGCTTTGGAGTGGCCATTTGCTAGAGAGATTAGCCTAACTAAAAAGGAACCAAGAGCTAATATCCAAGATAATGAGAAAAAAGCCTCAAAGTCATTTCAGAAGTATCTGAGGAAGTCCCTCCCATCATAAGCCCAGAAGCCTAAGAAAAACAAATGGATTTGGAGGCCTAGTCATGGGCCCGACTGCCCTGTGCAGCCTCAGGTCACTGCTTCCCACATTCTGGTTGCTCTGGCTCTGGACTTGGCTCAAAGGGCCCCAGACACTGCTTTGGAGACCATAAGCCACTGTAAGCCTTGGTCGCTTTCATGTGGTGTTAAGCCTTCAGGTGCATGGAATGCAAGAGTGAAGGAGGCTTGGCAGCTCCCTCCTAGATTTCAGAGAACATGCAAGAAAGCCTGTGTGACCAGGCAGAAGCCTGCTGCAAGGGTGGAGCCCTCACAGGAAGCCTTTACTAGAGCAGTGTAGAGGAAAAATGTAGGGTTGAAGACCCTAAACAGATCCCCCACTAGGTCACTGCCTAGTGGAGCTGTGGGAAAGAGGCCACCATCCTCCAGATCCAAGAATGGTAGATCTACAAGCAGCTTGCATCCTGAACCTGCAAAGCCTCAGGCACTCAACTCCAACTCACGAGAGCATGCACAGGGGCTGCACCCACAAAGCTACAGGGGCAGAACTATCCAAGACCTTGGGAGTCCTTGCACCAGTGTGCCATTTATGTGGATCATGGAGTCAAAGAAGATCATTTTGGAGCCTTCAGATTGAATTACTGCTCTGCTGGGCCTTGCATTTGACCTGTAGCTCCTTTCTTTTGGCCAATTTCTCCCTGTTGGAATGGTAACATATGCCCAATGCCTGTATTATTTATTGTTGCATCTTGGGAGTAAATTACTTATTTTTTATCTTATAGGCTGATAGGTGGAAGGAACTCATCTCCAGATGAGACTTTGGACTTGGGACTTAGAACTTAGGAGTTTACACTTTGGGGGACTATTGTGAAAGCATGCTTGTGTTTACAAATGAGAGAAGAACATGAGATTTGGGTGGCTGAAAGCAGAACTGTGTGATTTCTCATAATGCCCCCCCAAATCTCATGTTGAAATGTAATTCCCATTGTTGGAGGTGGGACCTGATAGGAGGTGATTAGATCATGGGGGTGGACCCCCCATGAATAGTTTAGCACCATGTCTTTGGTAATGAGTGAGTTCTTGCTCAGTTAGTTCATGAAAGATCTGGTTGTTTAAGATCTGAGACTTCCTCCCCCACTCACTCTGTTGTGCTGTCTCCTGCCACCTGACACACCTGCTTCCACTTTACCCTCCTCCAGGATTGTAAGCTTCCTAAGGCCTCACCAGAAGCAAATGTCAGCACCATCCTTCCTGTACATCCTGCAGAACTGTGAACCAAATAAACCTCTTTTCTTTGAAAATTACCCAGTCTTAGGCATCTCTTTATATTAATGGAAATGAACTAATACACTATCCTTGGCAATACTGCTAATCCTTATTACATAATCAAGAACAACCCTGAACTAGACAAATGAATCTGATGTTGTTTTCTGAATACTAGAAAAAAATATATTATTCAAAGAATACTCTGTGAACTTATTATGTATTTCATCATTATCAAGGCTGGTAAAATCACACGTCTTCACATAGGCAAAGAGAACTTTACATTCTTATAGTTTGGAAACTCCATAGGAAGGAAATAGCCTTCCCCATTAGCTCTAGCAGAAAAGTCCCACAGTGGATTCTGATTGGCCCACCTCATGTGATGTACCCATTCCTCAACCAATCAGGACTGGACAGATCAGGGAACTAAGCCTATCTCCTATAGTGGAGGGAGGTGGGAAAACAGAACCATGTGAATGACAGTCTCTCCTGAAAGATACGGAATAGTCTGAATTCTCTAAGGAAAATGAGTACTAATAATGGAAGAAGAATGACAGAAAAGTGTGCTAAGCAAATTAAAAAAAAAAAAAAAAGTCCAAGCTAGGCACGGTGGCTCACGCATGTAATCCCAGCACTTTGGGAGGCCGAGGTGGGCGGATCACCTGAGGTCAGGAGTTCGAGACCAGTCTGACCAACATGGAGAAACCCCGTCTCTACTAAAAATACAAAAATTAGTTGGGCATGGTGGCACATGACTGTAATCCCAGCTACTCGGGAGGCTGAGGCAGGAGAATCACTTGAACCTGGGAGGTGGAGGTTGCATGAGCCAAGATCATGCCATTGCACTCCAGACTGGGCAACAAGAGTGAGACTCTGTCCTCCTCCACTCCCCCCCCAAAAAAATTTCTAACCATAGTCCATATGTCTAGGTTAGATAATGGTTTTCCCACTTATCAACTGAGGGATCTTGAGCAAATCACTGTACTTCCTTGATCCTGTTTCCTTATTTATCAAGTAGAAAAGTTTAAAATTACCTGTCTTACATGATTGTCATAAGAAGTTATTGACAGAATATAAACTAAGGACTTAGACCAATTCCTGGCTTATATGTGGCAACAGCAACCTAATTGACCAATATTTAAGGGATTCACTCTGTTCTTTTCCCTGTGAAAGATATTGACAATAAAATAATGAGCAAGGGCAGTCATAATGACTTTAACCAAATAGTCAAACAAATATAAAACTACAGTTGTTTTGTAAAAAATAGGTAGTTCATGCTTGACTTTATAAGAGGAGAATTGACCAAAGCAAAGAGATCAGGGAAAGCCTCCCTGAGGAAGGAAACATAGGGAATACTGAGTTGAGACCTAAATGACAAATGCGTACTTACTAGGCGCAATGATAGGGTGAAACAAAGTGGTCCAAATGGAGGCAGAAAGAAGGGTATTTGCAAATGGTCTGAGGTGAGAGTTATGAGGACAGAAGAGCCTTGACCCTGGAAAAAGGGGATCACGTAATGAATTGACCTTGGAGAGGGAGGGAGAGGCAAGATCTTGGAGGCCCTGGAGGCTTTGGTAAGGCGCTAACTTCTTTATTCCAAGAGCAATGGCAAGCCACCAAAGAGCTTTCAGCAGAGGAAATTTCATAATCAAAGAGAAAGCATTCTTCTCCTTTTCCCCCTCCTCCAGTCACCCAAAGACAGATACAGAGAGCCTGCCTCTGGTCTGGCTTGGTCAGGCAATAAGTTTCAGTTTGTGAGAGCCATTTTTTAAAAGAAAAATATTGACAACAATATGTGTGTCTAAAAGATGATATCCACAAAATAGTGAATGAACAAGAGATATTTCATATGCACAAAGCAAGATAAGACTTATTTGGTAAATTACACCTGCCTCTTAACAACAAAAATGATAAAGCTCAGGAAAAAAGCTTTTCAAAATTGGATTAATCAATAATAGCATGACTGACAAAGAGTATTGAAAGTATTCAAGAAAAAATTAGATAATTATGAAATACCTTTCTACCCAGTGCGTTAAATGTTGAACTCCCTGAGCTGTACAATGGTAGCCTGCTATTTCCATAAGAAAACATACCCCATGCCTCCTATCTACCTGGAACATAGCCCTGCCTCTTGTTCAGTTTAAAGTAACTCCCTGGTTTTTCTTCTGCCAATCAACTGAATGCTGGCCTGCATCCCCTATCAAAAGCCAGTCTTAAGGAGAGATCTCAGTCATTCTGACCCATTTGCGACTTCCATATAAGCCTACCCAAAATCTTTCATTTGCATATTAGCTCTTTCTAATCTCTTGGATATTTGCTTTGACATTCTCTTGATTTAATTTCAAGTAACATTACTACACAACAAAATTGTAATGCAGCAGTATGAGGGAAGCAGAAGATACAGTTATGGATGAGAAAGTCAGTGATATCAGTGAAGCTAGAACTAGGGAATGGTGGAGGTGGGAGGAGACAGAGAGAACTGAGAGGGAAAAGAATGGAAAGAGGGAGGAACAGAGAGGAGAATGAGAATGCATTGCAGGAGATGAACGTAGCATGTATTACTGAGCTGAATGAAAAGAAATTGAACTGAATTTCTGTTAGGAACACTGCCTGGTTGCTTTAAACCTGGTCCAACGAATCAGTCCACTCCTTCTTATTGGTCTCATAAAAGCCGTATGGTTAGATCTACGATTCACAGGCTTCAGTAACTCTCATACGATTTTGATTATTTTTGTCATATCTGTCCTCCTTTAGTACTACTTGTTATTTACTTAATGTTCTACATTAAAGGGAGTTTATATTGACACTAAATTTTTTTTTTTTTTTTCCTTGGGGGGAAAATGGTGGTAAAAGGGTACACAGTTTTAGTTAGACAGGATGAGTAGGTTTTGGAGATTTATTGTACAGCAATGATAACTACAGTTAATGTACTGTATACAGTTAACCCTTGAACAACACAGGTTTGAATTGTGTGGCCTACTTATATGCAATTTTTTTTTCAAACTCAGATAGAAAATACAGGATTCTAGAGATGTAAAACCCATGTATAAGCAGGGCTGACTTTTGTGTGGGCAGGTTCTGCAGGGCTGACTGTGGGTCTTGAATATATGCAGATTTTGGTATACCTGAAAGATCCAGGAATCAATCCCCTGAATATACTGAGGTACTTCAAAACTACAAAGAGTAGATGTTAAATATTCTCATCTCCCAAAAATGATGAGTATGTGAGGTGATGGATATGTTATTTAGCCTGATTTAATAATTTCACAATGTATACATAAGCAGAACATCACATTGTACATGGTAAATAGATACTATTTTTGTCAAATATAACTTAATAAAGCTGCAGAAAAAAATAAAATGCTACACTTTAAAATAATCTTAAAGAGGCCAGGCGCGGTGGCTCATGCCTGTAATCCCAGCATTTTGGAAGGCCAAGGCAGGCGGATCACCTGAGGTCAGGAGTTCGAGACCAGCCTGGCCAACATTGTGAAACCCCATCTCTACTAAAAACAATTACAAAAAAATTACCTGGGCGTGGTGGTGGGCGCCTGTGATCCCAGCTACTTGAGAGGCTAAGGCGGAGAATCGCTTGAACCCGGGAGGCAAAGGTTGCAGTGAGCCGAGATTGCGTCATTGCACTTCAGCCTGGGAGACAGAGAGAGACTCCATCTAAAAAATACAAAATAAAAAAAAATCTTAAAGAGAAAGAAAACAATCATTTGCAATGCCTTCAGTATCCAAATTAAGCAGCTCATTTTCATATTTGATATTTGATATATTTGTACTAAGAGTACCTAATGTATAAAAATCTTTCTAAGCAATTATCAACTTGGAATCATGATTGATGTGCTGTCTATACATATTTTTTCTAACCTGAGAAAGTGAGAACGCAGTCCCCCACTAAATTATGCAGTCAAGTTCCCCACATTTGGGGAAATCACAGAGGTCAGCACATCCGGAGTGAAATAAATAAGCTTCGCCCTGATCACAGGTTTGGCATATTCGTGTTTAACAAATGCACCTGAACTAATTAAAGCAAATTTGGAATCCTACTCTATTATTAAAATAACTAATTCCTAAACTCATACATCATTCCTTCTTTTAAAGATCACTGATGTTAATGTTCAGCTAATATTTTCTTTTAAAAAATTAATGACATGCTTTGGAATGTTCTCCAGTTATACAAAGAAAAACAGACACATTTTGGAAAATCAATAAAATATTTGTTTTAAGTATTTTTTAAGACTGTACAGCTGGAGCTCCAGGTTTAAATTAGAGCTCTGCCATTAACTAGATATGGTTGGTCAAGAAAATTAACCTTGTATTTAATCGTCCATAAAATGGGAATAAAATAATAAGATCTATACTAATAGATTTGATGAAAGAATTTAATGAGATAATCTATGCGAAGTTCTTAGTCTGGCACCTGGTACATGAATAAGTGCATCACATAATGATGTTAGCTATTATTACTGTGGTGGCATTATCTTTCCGTTCAAAAAAGTACAACTTTCAAAGCTTTGCTGTGTTGGTGACCTGTAGTTTAATAATCTATTGCTTCTCTTTCAATCTTAATTTCCAAAGACATAGTAACAAACCATTCCGAATGAAGCATCTCCCCTTGCAAAACTTAACCTTGAGTCGACAATTCTTGTAATTATTAAATATTCATTCACTAAAGTAATTGTTTTTTTAAAAAAATAGAGGTGATAGGACAATGGCCTAACTACAGATCGCAATTAAACTTTATTTCTCTAAGGCAGGCAGGGTGAATTCTTTGCCCTGAACCTCCCCGACTCCTCTCCCTCTCCGACTCTATAAAAGAGGGAGCTCCAAGCCCTCTCTGGCGCACGAGGTTATTTCGTCTGTCCCCAGGCGTGCCAGGTGAGCCCCGTCGGATCCGGGAGGGTGAGCTGAGACTCGTCGCGAGCAGTAGCTGCAGGGTACCAAGCTTCGACCTCTGCGTCCCCGCGCCTTCGCGGCCTCCCGCCGGTGCAGGTCCGGGGCCCCCAGGCGAGGGGACGAGGTTGGCCTAATCTGCCCAACTTCTGGGCCATTTACCGTGCTCTGGCCGCCTTCTCGATTCTTCCCTCCGCGCCCTTGCCTGCTTCTAGCCTACCCGGGGCTCCGGAAGGGAAGGAGGCGTGTCCGGAGCAGGCGGGAGGGAACTGTATAAAAGCGCCGGCGGCTCAGCAGCCGGGCTTCGCTCGCCGCCTCGCGCCGAGACTAGAAGCGCCGCAAGAAGCACGGACAGTGGAGAGGGCGCTGCGCTCGGGCTACCCAATGCGTGGACTATCTGCCGCCGCTGTTCGTGCAATATGCTGGAGCTCCAGAACAGCTAAACGGAGTCGCCACACCACTGCTTGTGCTGGATCGCAGCGCTGCCTTTCCTTATGAAGAAGACACAAGTGAGTAGGGCGCGCCCGGGAGCTCCCAGGCTCGCCAAGAAAAATCGTGCCCGGTGCCCCGGGGAAGCCGGCGCGCCTTGGGACCTGCAGCTGGGGCGTGCAGGGCTGTACCTGCCGGGTGAGCGGGAGGCCGGCGTGGTGTACGATCCCGAGCCCGCTGAGCCAGGGAGAAAAGGATTGGGAGTGCTGAGAGGGAGCCTGTGTCAAGTTTGGAGATTCCGCAGTTAAGTTTTGAGCTATCAGTCGGAAACCGCAATTCCCGTCTGGTGGAAAGATTGGCTTTTGGGCCGTGGAATTTTAAGTTACCACGGGAAAGCATGTCTTTGCATAGGAGACGGTTTTCCCGTGGATTCTGGGAGATTATGAAACAGCACCCCACGCGCCACCCTCGCTGGCTCTCTCTCTCAGATTTATTTGCGTAGCCCCGAGGTGGGCGCCGGGCACCGGGAGCGGCACGGACGCGGGTGCAGCCGGGGGAGCGAAGCCAACGCGGAGCTCCTAAGCGGCAGCTCTCGGCGGGGCGGGAACCTGCCCGGCCCTCCCGGGAAACTTGGCTCTCGGCGGTGTCTGCCTAGTTTGCGGCTCTGTATGGGCTCTAAAGAGCTGTAGTACCTCCACAATGCATGCACCTTTTCCCATTTCAGCAGGGATAAAGGCTCTTTATAAAATAGGCACCTCTAAATGATAGTGATTGAGATAATTCCTAGTGCTGCTAAATTCTGCATTATACATAAAGCACTGTGGGTAAAGCGCTGCCCAGGGGGACAATTAGATTTTTTTTAGTGTTTTTTTTTTTTTTTTTTTGAAGAAAATACCTGGTTCGTCCTTTAGAAAGGGCCGCCACGGTGCCCCCTATCCACAGTTCTCTTCACCATTGTTGATTCTTACCTCCTCTCACTTCTCCCCCTTAGAAATTGTTATGTGTTGTCTGCCGCGGGTTGGGTAAGGGTTGCCCTTTCACCCCCCAGAGGTTCTGTCGGAGATTGCAGTTCCTGAAATGTGTGGAAGGGGTGGAAATGGTGGGGAAAAAGGAAATCGGGGTGTTTGTACACATCGTTGGTTTAGAATGAAGGCATCAATGTGCTCAAAATGCTTTATCAAATGGCCTGCTTAGCATCATGTTTTAAACAGGTATCTAGGCCTGCAAATGTACACTTTGGGAAGAAAGTTGCAAGACTCTAGCCCCTTGTACCGATGTGGTAAAAGGCAGGGAAAAGGGACATTGCCTGGCTGAAAGAGGCTTACGTAGCCTCTAGAGCACTCTCTAAGAGAAAAGAAGCGATGTGCCTCTCCCCTCTCTTGCAAGCTGGTTAGCTTTCAGGCAAGGCATTGAGCGCCACACCTGGAATCACCACAGAGTGCTGTCGAAATGCAAATGTTACAGATGCTTGCAACAAAAGGAAAGTTTTATTATAATCTCTTGATTTAGACGAGCTTTCTGCGGAATTACAAGAAGGGTAGAGACCTATTCCTTTTTGTAGTAGCATCTGCTCCCATGAATGGTAGTGGTGAGATCTGGGGGAAGAAGCTGCTACCTCCTAGTTCAGGAAAAGAGCCTAAACCTTCCTATTTAAAGAAGAACACAAGAGACAGATAAGGTTAATGTCCAACACTCCAAAGCCAGGGGATGTACTATCAAGACATTCTGAGAGGCAGTAGGATTGAGGATCCTTGCACGCCTGCTTTGCAAAACAAATGTGAGCTCTGTAATCTCCTTTCTCGCTTTGATTAAATGGCTGTGTAAATCGGATTACATGGAATAATTCCATTGAAAACTAGAAAGAGGTCAATCTAGTCTGAAACACTGTGGCTGTGGCATTAAGTGACTCAGTGCTGCCGACCAGAGACATTTGAGAAAGCTAAGTATTTTAGATATGTGACCTGTTCGGTCACACATCACACAAGTTAAAGTGCAGGCCCTTTGGGGGAACTTACTGATGTTAAACGCCTTGCAGGCAAAGGAGGGCAGTGCCCTTGTTGAATGAAGGCATTCATTGCCTAGGATCTAATGACCTTCAAGGTTTTCTTTAAGAATACTTCTAGCAATTCCACAGTCACTGAAAAAGGGGACACTAGAAATAGCCCAAAATCAATAAAATAATCTGCAGACATGGGGGGGGGATTAGATCTTCTTTCATATTGTTAAATTTTCTAATCCAAAGTTAAAAAGACATTTTCTGTGCAAATGCTGCATGGATAGAAAGTAGCCTACGTAAATTGTAAACTAAGAAGTAGGATCGATTGTTCTGAATCTAATGTTATCCTCACCAGGGAAGAGTATGTATTAGTATTTACTAAATAGTCATTTATAAACATGGCATCAATACCATGGTTCTATTATAAAGCAGCTGGTTCTGTACTCTCCTACATATAAAGAAAACTTAATATTTTAAAATGGACTTTAATTTGAATCACACAGCTCTGCAAGAATCATGGAGACTCCAGTATTCTGGCCTTTCAGTCAAGCTAAATAAGTGTGAAAATTCCATCAACAACCACTTGGGGTTTGATGAATGATTCATTCATTTAGCATGTGTGGTACACTTCAGTATTTTGAATATAATGACACAGGCAATAGCCATGAGGAGCAATTGTGACAATACATTTAATCACAGTTCTACAGAAATGAATGTCTTTTGAGTTTTTCAGATTTCCGTTTGATTTTATTTTATTCAGATTGTGTGGTTTTACAGTTTCTAGAGGTAATTGTGGCTTGGGCTTAGAAAAATGTCTCTTTCAATGTGTAACTATTTTTTAAACATAATATTCTGATACACCATTTTAGACTACAATCAAGGCACCATATTTTGCAACACTGATTAAGATTTGGTTAAAAGTACCATCAGCTTAATGTACCTGGTGTTACATTTATCAATGTTCTGCTTACGTTTTAGTTTGGGGATGGTTTGTAAGAAGTGCCATAACTGCTGTCAATTTCAGAAATACTGAGATAAGAAAGATTGATCTTGCAAACAATGTAAAAAGGCCATTTTAGGCATACTAACTCTCAGAGAATAAGCAAATAGAATGCTAGTTTTCACTACTCCAAAGAAAATATCTCTTTTATGTCTGTATGAAGTTTGTCATGTGGGTGACGATGCAAGTTTACTTTGTAGAAGAAAATTAACATATTTATGAAAAGAGCATTTTTTTAGTCTTGTC